TAGTAGAAGTAGTAGTAGTAGTAGTATAGTAGTAGTAGTAGTAGTAGTAGTAGTAGCAGTAGCAGCAGTAGTAGTAGTAGTAGTAGTAGTAGTAGTAGTAGTAGGAGTAGTAACTGCTACTACGACTACTACTAACCTGCAGTCGATTTAGCAGATGTGCAGCATTCAAGGCCTCGGCTTTGACATGACCAACGTGATACACCAGAAACCAGAGACTTGCTGCAGAACATTCACAGTGTGGGGCATCCAAGGTTCAGGGTTTAGGGTTGAGGTCCCTAAACCCTAAACCCTAAACCCTAAACCCTAAACCCGAATCTGAGGCTTCAGAGCTTCAGATTTGTCTTTTCTAGCCTGGCCATCTGCAACCGTGGGTCTGTACTCGCTCCGGCAGTGAGTGCCCGCTTTGGTCCCTCCTCGGCTCAACCAAGAAATGGGGCAAATCCCCAGAGACTCCAATATCCCTTAAGGAATATACCTTAAATCATATTAGGGATCCTACTGTAATTTAAGGTATATTCCTTAATTAAGGGATATTGGAGTCTCTGGGTCCCGAAAGGTCTTCCAGGCTGAAGACTAATATGGGGGTTTCCGGAAATAGGGGACCCTAATATAGTACCCTAAATAGTAGGAACCTTATTATAAGGACCTCAAAGTAAGGTACCCCTAATTTTCGGAAACTCCCATATCTAGGGCGTACACTACTGCAGTTTAGGGTTTTATTGCTTAGAGTTCAGGGCTACTCCCATGGGGTTTTGGGATACGATCAACGATACATAGAGTCGCAAGGCAAGGAGCTCCCCAAAGCTCTTTCATGTCCTACACTGCTATACTGGTCATGTTAAGTAGGGTCTGGTGGCTCTAATAACTTGGGGCATTTAGGGCGGGGTATCCCACACCTCCCAAGCGTAGTCACACATCCGGAGCAACCCAGCCCTAAACCGTCCCCCCAACCCCGAACTCTACAGCCTGAAGTGAAAACCAACAAGCCCCAAGCCGCGCACTCTCCCGCGGCACAAAACTAGAACCCATGCCAGAAACCGGAAATCCTGAACCCTAAACCCTAACCCTAAACCCTAAACCCCTAAACCCTAAACCCTAAACCCTAAACTCTAAACCCCCAGACCCTAAAACCCTAAACTCTAAACCCCTAAACCCTAAAACCCTAAACCCTAAACTCTAAACCCAAGACCCTAAAACCCTAAACCCTAAACTCTAAACCCAAGACCCTAAACCCTAAACCCTAAACTCTAAACCCAAGACCCTAAACCCTAGACTCTAGTCTCTCTACACCATCAGCCCGCGACGCTGAGTCTAGCCCCGAAACTTTGAGTGAGTCGGAGGAGACGTTTTTACAGGGTTTAGGGCTTGGGGTTTAGGATTTAAGGGTTTAGGGGGTTTAGGGTTTGGGGCTTAGGCTTTGGGGTTCAGGGTTCCTCTGAGTTGAAGGTGAGACCTGCCAGTTGGGGGCATCTAGGGCACTGCTGCTTTTAAAGCTCCCAGCCGATGAAAGACCTACTTCTCCAGTATCCTGGGGAACTGCAGGTAAGCCTTCCAAAGTACATTGGGGTTATACTGGGATTATACCTATAGTCTCCATTGTAGTTCCTTTTTTGGGGTTTAACCAACTATATATTAAGGAATCTATAAGGTATCCCCCAAAAGGAACTACAATGGAGACTAGGTAGTACACCAACAAGGTTAAAGGTTACCTGCTCTACTACTGGGAAGATTTGCCTTCCCTTCGAAACCTCAGGGCACTCTGCCTCGATTCATGGCTCGGGTAGATACAAGGGGTGTGATGCAAAACTGCTAAGTCCCGTGGAGCATCCCTTTCAGAACCCCTAAACCCTAAACCCTAAACCCTAAACCCCTAAACCCTAAACCCTAAACCCTAAACCCTAAGCCCTAAACCCTAAACCCTTTGAGAAGGGCGCTACAGGGGACCCTCAAGGTTCCTTTAGGGTCA